CACTCACCAAGGTTTGTAAGTGTTCGTATATTTTTTATCTGGAGTGTTTTCCACTTTTCTGGGTGAGGGCTGGAAACAGCTGCACAGGGACACCACCAGTCTAACTATGGGGGAGGGGTGCACTGGAAAAGCCTCTGTGGTGACATGGCTCTCTGACCTCTGGCCTCGGCTTGGTACGGGTCACAGGTCATCAATACAGAACCACCATTACTTATAGAACGTTAGTGTGGATAGCGGAGCCGGAAGCGGAAACGATTTTAGCCGCGGAAGCTAGCGGCACTATAAAATAGGCCACACGGGGCCGGTAAATGATTTCTTGAGGACAGAGGTCGTTATTGATATTGTTGGAAAATCAAACAACGGCCGAGGTCCTCAAGAAATCATTCCGGCCTAAGCAAGGCCGTATAAGAGGGCCTAAGTGTGGTATTTACTTTACCATATGGTGCACGTAGTTGCAAAATGAGCCTTCTCAAAACCACGCTTCTCACCAGTTTCTTAGGATTTGACTTTGGTGATGACAATTAAGATTGTATTGATTTTTGTTATTACAAAATAAAAAGTAGGGAAACGTTAAGAAAAAAACTGAACAATGCGTGAGGAAGTTGAAGCCTTACTTCGAAATATCAGTTTCCAGCTCCCTTTATAGCGTGTTCAACATCAGTAACCGTGGAATCGTGAACATCAAAATGAAGTAAGAAGCACGGCACGGTAACACCCGGAGCTGTCAACACTGCCCTGTCGACTAGTCCAAAATGACGTGTAGGGGAAAGTGGGGTAAGACGGGCATCTTAACCCGCGACCGCCTTGGGGGGGGGGTCGGATCCGACCCCCCCCCTCCGTTTTTCTTAAATAACTCATGAACCGCTTACGCTAACAACTTGAAACTTGGCATACCTTCTCCCCCATCAATTTGACGCCTCCTGTGTAATATTTAAGAAAATTTTCCAAATTTTTTTTAGATATATCGATTTTAGTGATGTAACTACATGGCGTTTTCAGTCAAAAAGTGGCAAATGTTTAAAAAATCGCCAAAAATTAGGGTTTACAGCAAATTGCAAATTAAGGACATGAATAGACGCAGCTCAACGAGTTCTTTAAAATGGCTAGGTATCTCGGATTTTCCATAAAATGCGTTTTTCACCCCTAAAAATTCAAAAAACTATATTTTTTGGAAAACAGCTAATAAAATCCAAAATTTTGAGAATTTCCGAAAAACCGGAATATATGTTATAGATCTCTATTAGAGCATTAGATGTCCCAAATTTCAACTTTCTATCTTGATTTTTGACCCCCAAAATGTAAAAAATAGCTCCAACATGCATAGGGCATGGTGACGTCAAAAGCATTTTCGTGAATTAGGGGCACTTCTGAACATCGCATGTGAAAACAAATGGCACCACTAGATTCCTGGGACAAAGCTCGTCTAGAAAACTGCATTTTTATGTCAAAAATAAAAAGTTGAAAAATTGGCCTTTTTTCTTAGCCCTCGTTTAGTTATGTATGATATAAACGATTCTTTATGCTTTCAATGCACATTTATCACCAGCTGGGGTCACATATAACCATTACCATCGGAATCGGCGTGAAAAATAAGCCATTAACATGTGTCGCACGCCCATGTAGCAGAAAGTGAAAACCGTGACCTTTCGTGACCTGACCTGACCTTGACCCGTACTTAGTATGACCCCTATACGCACATGGTACCTTCACTAGGTCTGTGAGGTCATTTTTGGTGAGTTTCGAGCAGCAGCTATCGATTCCGCTGTCCGTAAGCCTAATCATGCAAAACCCCAGAATTTAACCTTTGACCTGACCTTGACCCGAAAGTTAACCTCAATCTTAAAATCTTAAGAGTGCTTTGGGAAGGTCTCGTAGAGACCTTTCGAACGCCGCCTCGCGGGGCTCGATGCGACCATTGGTTCTCGAGATAACAGGGGGGGGGTCGGATCCGACCCCCCCCCCCAGGCTGTCGTGGGTACGAAAATAGCCCAGGCGGTGCCGGATTAACTTTGGAACCATTTTTTGGCCGGTTAGAAACATCATAGAAACGGGAAACTGAGTGAAAACCGTTTTTAGACATTTTGCTTCCATTTGCCAGAAGATGAGACTTAGATCTGATTCAACAAATAAACTGCAGCTATTTTTGCAAAACCTTGCAAAAACCCGTCTTACCCCACCCCATGGGGTAAGACGGTCACATGGGTAGGGTAAGACAGCCCAGCTTCTTTTACCGACCAGCACAGCTCGCAACAAATGCCCGAGATTAGCCGCAGTAATACAGTCGCTCGTTGGTCTCAGTGCTTCGGAAATGGCAGTATACGAGATTCGTGCAGAAGGCGTATGATCGTACCTATATAGGCCCTAGTTCAGACGCCATGTAGAGCAGTTTTTCACATTCATTATTCGAGAATAAACTGTGCCGAAGGAATATTGCTAACATGTCTGTGAGTATCGGAATAGAACATATTCTTATCCCGCGCCCCAGTGGCGGTCTCAGCCAACTTCGCCCTGGTGGTGGTGGTGGGGGGGGGGGGGGGGGGGGCATATGTTACCACCCACCTCTAACTCAAAAACTAAGAGGGCTAGAAAGACGCGGTAAAAAGCAGTCGATAGCTCTCAATGCGTACGTTTGAAAGTATTTCAGTCACTTTTCATCTTAGAGCAATATTGGGGTCACCAGAGGTCATCAAAGGTCAAAATTTGCGAATTGTCATTATATTTTTCAGAAAACATGCCGTTATCTCAGGAACTATTGTAGCTAGAAAAACGCATGGAACAGCAATCGATAGCTTTTGAACTCTTCTTTTGATAAGGTCATTATCAAAATTGACCTCAGGTCAACGGTTTAGCCTCCAGAGGGCAAAAACTCCAAAAATGCCTGTTTTTACGAAAAGTGTTTTTCGACAATAACTTTCGACTACAAAAAGCCACGACATTTCTATTGCCAGAATCGTGTTCCTCTTGCCGAGACGCGTTGAATGAACTATAATTTGACCTTGAAAGGTCAACTTGAAAATTTGACCTCAGGTCAAGGTCATGACCTGACCGGAAAAGGTCATGTTGCATATCAGTCGATGCGTCTTGACAATGCAAACACAATGAGACCATCTTTTGTGTAATGTGTATGTGGTGGCCAAGGGTTGAAACGTTCTTAAGCTGTTAAGAGGGAAACAAATCAGAGGCATCTCGGACCGGTATTATTCGTGCCTATCTCTCGAGCTATTATTTTTCCGAATACGGGCTTGGGGGAGCTGTGACAAAAGAAGAGGCTAGACTGAAGGAATTTTGTGAAACGTGTATGGATTTTCGAAAATGAATAGATAACTTTGGAAGTGAGTTATAATTTTGGAACTTATTTGGGAACACCATCCCCAGCGTTCTATCTCTTTCCAATCACGAGTTATTGGCAAAAATCTGTTTGTAGCCTCAAATGACCTCGGATGACCTTTCTAGAGGCTATCAGCAAAAATGACACCTAGGTTATCACGGGTGGTCCAAATCAGTGTGATTCTGAATATTTGGACTGTTCCTATGCGTACACACGGATCTAGAGGCATTTTCATTTTTCTCCATTGACTTGCAATGGAAAGGTCACGCCACTGACCTGACCTTAGGTCACGGATATAAAAAAATCCGAGATATACAAATTGTAGGCGCCCATAACAGCATGCAATCCACCAAGTTTAAAACCTTTCTGACAAACACTGCAAGCTGGACAGGATTGCAAACTTTTTTAGGCATGGTCAGTTAACTTGACCTGGTGACCTGACCTGACATGACCTGGGGTCAAAAATTTCACACATTGTTCAAAATTGATGTACCAAAAGCTACCCCAAGCGGCGCGGCGTTACGCGCCGCGGTTTTTTATTCACACGCAAAAAACGCGACAGGGTGGTAACATATGCCCCCCCCCCCCCACTGGGGCGAAGGTTATTAGAAATGCTTCTTTTTTCCTACAGCACCAAAAGTATTTTCACCATTACAGACCCATTGGTTGCCCGTCTTACCCTAAACTCAATGTCAGAAGTTCAGCACGATTTTTCTCTGTGGACAATTTGATGCAGGCAAAGCAAATCCGCGGTAAATGAAAACTGGTGGCATATGAGTGTACCACAAGTGATTGCGAGTTTTTAACTCTATAGTGCTGCACACAAAAGCTTGCACAATAGGTTGTGGATGTTTTCAATGAAATGAGTGTTTTAAAGAAATCAAAATAAAAGATTATCGACCGAACACAAATTCACCAGACTTCAATGGTGGTGTGTAGTGGGAAAGACAATTCTGGTCCCAATTTTTCTCGCTCGTAGCGCCATTGGTTTGGTCTGCAGAAGGGGTGCCCGTCTTACCTGCCCTGACCGTCTCACCCCACTTTCCCCTACCTGAATAAAAATTTGATTATTGGACGAAACTTTGCCTTCAGTGACCTCTGGTGACCTCTCCTTTGAACTGACCAAAAAAAGTGACTGAAGTGTTTTCGTCATTATTTTTTGCGCTCTTTTGAACGCCGCCTTCCACGTATCGCTACGTGGCCCAGGAGCCGAGTTAGAGGGGGTGTTCAAACACCACCAGGACGTGGAAATCTAGGACCCCCAGCGGGGCGCGGGTTAATCTCCCAAATCAGCTTTCTGCTGTGTTAGAGCTGATAATATTTCGCGTCTTGAGGCAAACGCAATAAAGTCAACACCATTTCACTGGCTGAGATGACAAAGCAACTGCAGTGTAAAAAAAAAAAAAATGATTGAAAAAAGGGACATCGCAGAATGAAAATGGAAGGACACAATAGATCAAAGCGTTTATTTATAGGCAAACAACCGATGGGACCTAACAATATCAACAACGCTCTATATAGATGAAAGGCCTGCTGCACTGAAACCCGCCTCGAACTTTATTTCATTTCAATCGCAAGATTGGGACTTGTGGTGTGGCTGCGCGATGCCCCCCTCGTGGCTTTGACCGTTCGGTTGCCGACGGTGGGAGGCGCAGGGCGCATGCGCCGACAGCAGAGCTCCCTCCCCAGTTGCCCGCTGGACCCGAGGTGGGACGGTCGCGTCGGTGGTGCCCTCCGACAGACTGGTGAGTGGATGACTGTTGGGGGTTTCGAAGTGGTGTAGACCATTAATGATATTTAATATTTCTCCGTTGTGTGGCAGTGTTCCTGTGAACTGATTTGTCGCCAAACGCAATTGGGGGAGTTTAAACAATGATGATCTCTTTTATGCGGATCTCTGACCTGACCTGAAAAAATATTTATGTTGTTGATCATCATGTCGACCACCCTTTAAAGGGACCCTCCCACCTTCAAAAAAGTTAATGAATTGGCCTAGAAGCGATATTGCTTGGCTCAGGAAGATCAAAAATGAATATCTACCAAATTTTACCGAAAAATATTTACTGGTTTTCAAGATATTATATTTTTACTTTTGCTTACTTTTGGGACCTCCGCTGTTCCTACGACTTCATTTGGAAGCAATGATTTGGCATCCTAAAAATGCGGCAGACGTTGCGCGCAAAGCAGTATATACCACCACGTGTTAGGAATGGTTTTAGCATAAGATTTAAAAAACCGTTAGATCTCCGCTTACGCCACAAATTCTAAGGGGGCATTCAAATGCATTAGCCCCTTAGAATCTCAAAACTGCAAGTTTGAAATTAAATATCTTCGCAGCAGCTCTCGATGTTGTGAGTGCCCACTGCCCAGTGCCCACACCGGTAAGTGCAGACCAGGGACTCCAATTTGGCTATCTCAACTCAAAACTAATGTTAAGGTAGGATGGTCACTTGAAACTGTCTTCGCCTTGTCGCGAAGTATCGCTAAGTACCTAAGTCCTAACCAATTAAGGAAGCCGTATGAAAAAGTCGGAGAGCTTCACGGCGCACCATTTAACAATTTTTTCTGCATTCCTTAAACAGTGAACAAGCAGATATGAAAGTGTGTCAATAGGAATTAAATGCCGATCTCGTGTCTATAACTGCATTGATAAAAAGGATTTTGCCGGAAGCCGGTGCTTAATTTTCGCCTTTTCGGTAAAGTTCAATAGCTCGTATAATCTCAAATTTATATTGTGGGAGAATGGGTGCAAACTTCGAATTCAGTACTCGATAACTACCTAACTGCATCATGCTTACTTTTCTGTCAAACTGGACCGTTTCTGGAACCATTACGACCTAATTGGGTTGCTTGTCTTTCACGTATTTTCCAATACCCTCCCATGACTCAGGAATTTATTGTATCGTGCAGTTTAAATGCGACTATATCTATTAGAACCGATCAATTGCGATAGTCAGTAGACATCGGTTGTAGGTGGTGCAAGGCATGCGTTTCACGTGCGCGGACCGGACCGGTCTTGAGACCGGTGTTGCTGGCATCAGATAGGTACGGCTATTCTATGCACATCTCTGATAAATTGTCTGCCAAGTTTCAATGTAGACATGCGACTATATGTATTAGAACCGATCAATTGCGATATATCGCAATTGATCGGTTAGTCAGTAGACATCGGTTGTAGGTGGTGCAAGGCATGCGTTTCACGTGCGCGGACCGGACCGGTCTTGAGACCGGTGTTGCTGTCATCAGATAGGTACGGCTATTCTATGCACATCTCTGATAAATTGTCTGCCAAGTTTCAATGTAGACATGCTCGATATAGGTGTATGTGTGCTTTGTTTTAATATAGTACAAAGCTGGCACATTCATACACACGTGTATCCGCTGTCTCAAGATTAATGAGGTGATTCTAAGCAATAGATGAAACACAGCACCAATGAGGATGAATAGCTGCGTGGAATGATGGCCTTCCTGTCGTGTGGCTTGCAGCGGTATGTAGGCATACGCCTGAGTTACACTGCACACACAGAAGCTTATACTTATAGACTCGCTTCGGCGGCACGCCAGGGATTGGCCTTGTGATACAAAGAACGACGGTTACAAATTGTCCGCTTCCGTGTCCAAATGAACTAAATCAAGGTAAATGAAAAACAATCGAACCTGGAGCTGGGTAGTGCATGGCCACATGGCGTGCATCTAACAGTATTTCTAGCTCTTCTAACTATTTTCTAACTATTTCTCTTACAAATCACTCTGCTCACCAATCTCTCTAACTTCCAATTATTCTTCTATTTCTATATATCCAGCTATTTTCTTCGTGATGCTCAATGTTCAAGATGTGGTAGAGATGAATGACTGAGATTTGTGCAGTTTGCTCTTTTAGTCTAGTCAAATTTATTTGTATTCTAGCTGTTAATATGAAATGAAAATTGCCTAAAAAATGGGAGAACTGGCTGCTGGAACGCAATCATTGAGGTTACCCTTCCATCTGTCCGGACCCATCGACCATGCGGCTTGCACAAACCCACCCACTTGGTATCGATTATCGAGTTCTATTATCGATGGACAATCTGGGCCACCTGGTCGAGTATGTTTGCTCTCACTGGGGCACACCCACTATCGGTTATTTTGTGAGCCGATAAACGCGCGGGCGCCCCGCATTCATAGCTGTCAGCTGTTTGATGCGCGTGTCAGCACGCACGTGCGCCAGGGGACGCCCACCGATAGCGAGAGGAGGCCGCTGTCACGTGTCATCTGTCATGTCCTGTGATGGTGACCCGATAACACGATAAAAGAAGACTGGATGGAGCGCTAAAGTAGGTTTGATCATAAACCATGCTTTAGGTGCGTTTTGTTTATTAGGCATGCCTTGCCTAAAAACCTGATGGAAAATATGACTGGTGTATTCAGATTTCAGTGTTTCAGTTTGGTCAACAGGTACGCTCGCAATACACTCGCAATACAGCCAATACGCTCGCGAGTAGATTATACAGGGTGCGGTGTAGTCGGCTTTGGATATTTCGAAGATGCTCAGATATGCCTGCAGAATGCAACAACGTTATTGACTTGTGTTTGGTCAATAGCTGGGCCAAAGCAGTTGGCTCAAGTTTGGTCAATCGTTCATGGGCCGTCACTAACTTTATCAGTACCGGGTTCCGAGAAAGCCCCCGCGGTATTGCTGGCCGTCAGGTGGCCGCTAGGGTCACGTCACTCACGACAGTGACTCTGGGTGGCATTACCCATGGGTCATGAACCAGCTGGTTAACGGCCCGTGAAAATTGCCACTTGCTCACGGAAACGATTCCGTCGTGGCATCGCCCACGCCCCAAAACCACTGCAATATGCCAAGTTGCGTTGATTAAAAGTTTTATTGGTGGTTACCAGCACTCACTGAGTGTGAACAAATGGCGTTTCAATTCGTATGTGGTTTATGATGTAGAGCACAACGCTGTAAAAGAAAAGCAAGGAAATTGCAATATTGCTTGCACAAGTAGTGGCAGGGCTTCACTTGAGTGGAGAATTGGCTCAATCGCGGTTAGTTAAAACTGAATCACAGTTAGGTCAAGGTGTGAAATTCCACTGTAGCTTGCTTGTTTTCGAAATGCATTATGTCGAGCTCGATTGAAACTTGGAAACGATATACGGCTTACGTACACAAGAATGACACCTGAGTTGTGACTTGAGACTTGGTCATTGTTTGAAAATATGTAACGCTTGTAACAATTGAAAGCTTGGGGGCGCTCTCAATTTAATAACTTATAATTCGAAGCTACATAGTTTAGAAACTGATCTTCGTGTTCACTATCCTGGTCCGGTATCAGATATTTAAACTTATCCATTTTCGTGTCTTGCCAATGCGACGTATCTCCGCAGACGGCATATTCAGGTCCACTTGTCACTGTCGTTAGGTGGAGTGTCTTTGTCTCAAGTCGCCGCCGAGACAGCGCCATGAGCGGACGATCCCAGTTGGGACGACAGCGCTCTCCTCTCCGTATTCCGTTGGCACTATGTCGTCTCTGACAGCGGCAGCCAAACTGGGTCCGTCTATTTCGGCCGACACAGACAGCCATTAACTGTGGCGTGGCAAGTCCCGAGGTCAACAGGGAACGGCGGTAATTTGGTGGTATTGCGGACCCTTTGGCTGCTCGGCCCAGTGTGAAACACGCTGTCCCCAGTGGGTCGGCCTTAACTCACATTTAGTGGATTTGCTGTCCAAAGGCGGCTTTCAAAGGGGTCGCTTGTGGCGGCTCACAGTCTTTCATCTTAGGTCGGTGCGTAGCTTTTGGAAGTTTGCCTCACATTAGCATTTGAAAGGAGCTTTGGTGTCTCGATAATCGGTTGACCTCTTTGTGTTAGGTCGTGGCTTCGTGGAATGGCTATGGTGACGATCGATCCCTCATCATCCAGCGGTTGAGGTATAACCAAACAAATCACAACCAAGCCTTATCGACCCTCGCCCGATTCGTCCGTATTTCTGTGAAACTGGATATTGGATTGAAAGCAATAGCGATGTGGGCACTCAACCTCAATTGGATTAAGTTGTCATAACATAGATAGACTCATGTCTTGGAATATTTGTATGAGGTCATTTAATGCTGTTTGTTGTTCGGCTAATAATGTTATCCCCACTTTCTCAAGTGCATGCGCTGTGTGTCGTTCTCTCACTATAAGGGTGTGGAGATACTATACGCTGCTCGACCACAGTGTCGGTCCGTGCTAACCGTTCCGAAGTTAAAGGGACCCTCCCACCTTCAAAAAAGTTAATGAATTGGCATGAAAGTGATGTCGCTCGGTTCAGAAAGAACGAAAACGAATATCTACCAAATTTCATCGAAAAATATTCACCGTCCTAGTGACTTTATTTGAAAGTGCAGCACTTGTTGCGCGCAAAGCGGCATATACCACCGCGTGCTACCAAACGTTTTAGTAAAAGATTTAAAATCTTCAGATCTGCGCTGACGTCACAAATTCTAAGGGGGCATTCCAATGCATTAGCCCCATAGAATCCGAAAACTGCAAGTTTGAAATTCCATATCTCCGAATTACAGCATTTTTCGATGTTGTGACTGCCCAAATCGGTATTTTCAGGCCATGGCCACCAATTTGGCTATCTCAACTCAAAACTAATGTTAAGGTGGGATGGTCAATTTAATGTCACCACCAGTATATTGCCTGTTGTAAACTTCAAAATAAAAGTCCTCATCTCGAAGCGAATTTCCCGAACCAAAAACTGGGCTACGATGATCTC